CACGTGATTCTATAGACTTCCGGAAGACAATGTGAGGAAATAGGTAGAGATGCCATTATTCCTTATAAAGAAGCTGAGCTCAGAGAGTCTGTGTAAATTACAGACTGGTAAATCACTCAGCCAGGAAGCAGCTGGGTCAGCACTCAATGGTGGGTCCTCCTCCCGGGCCACCATAAAGCTCCTAATCTCTACCCCCAATCCCTACCAGTCTCTCAAGTCTTAGTACTATGCCATCAGCTTCCATCTGGCATTGACGGGATGTGCGACTGAAGCTCAAAGTCAACGAGCTTAACTAAATTCATCGCATTTCCCCCCAAGCCAGCTTTCTCCTGACACGCTCATTTCTGCCCAAGTCATTTTTTCTCCAGTGACCCAACCCTAAAACCTCGTGGCTAACAAAATCATTCTCTCCTTCTCCCCTCTTCCAAATCCAATTTTTTAGTAAGGCCTAGCAATAATTCTCTTGTATTGCTGCTTCCAAATCTATCCTTTCTTCCACAATCCTTTTGTGACCAGCTTAATTCTGGCTCTTACCACCTCTCATTCAAACCATCAAATAACCTGACTCCTTGACACCCATCCTTTCGTCATCTGATTGGGCCCACAAAGCTCCACCAGTTACTATCTGAGTTTTTAGACCTGGTCATGTTACTGCAATGTCAACCATCAACAGCTCACTGCCTAAAGAATGAGAGATCTATCCATCTCAAACTCAATCTAGTCCCTACTTCTGTTTCCAGGTTGATATCCGCTCCATCACACCACACACCTTCTACTGCAGCTGATGATCTACTTGCACTTATCAGCACTACCATGTGATCTCCTTGCCCACCTCCACCTGGGAAAATTCAACTTCAAGGTACAGATTAGCCCACCCCCTTCACAAAGCCTTCTCGGACATCCTGGCCCAAGGGAGCATCCTCCCCTCTGATCAGCATTTTCTTTCTACCATTCATTTGTCATGGAGACAGTGGTGGTTCAGTGGCAGAATTCTTGCCTTCCAGGCAGGAGACCCAGCTTTGATTCCTGGCTAATGCACCTCATGCACAGCCACCACCCATCTATCAGAGGAGGCTTGCATGCTGCTATGATACTAAACAGGTTTCAGAGGAGCTTCCAGGCCAAGATGGACTAGGAAGAAAGGCCTGACAATCTACTTCCAAAAATCAGCCAGTGAAATACCTATGGATCACAATGATCTGATCCGCAACCAATCATGGGGATGGTACAGGACCAGGCAGTGTTTTGTTCTGTTGTGCACAGGGTCGACATGAGTTGGGGGCCAACTCGATGGCAGCTAACAATAACAATAACAGCTCATTTGTCATTTATACAGACCTTCAGTGTCACCTCATTTTTCCTTTGCCATCTTAGGCAAAAGCCCCTGGAAGGGAGGGCTTGGGTGAGAGGTCTTTTGTACCCGTGTATTCTTGTTTTTTTTTTTTGTGGGGGGAAGCAATATGTTTATTCATAATTAAAATTATAGTGTTAAAAAAAAGAAAATATGTTTATTTATTTTAAAATCAGAAAGAAAAAAAAATCACCATAATCCAGCCTGAATTATATTTACTTTTGTACCGAGGCAGTTGTAAAATATAATTTTTAATTTTTTTTTTTTTAATGGAGGATGTAGTCAGGAAGGCCAAAGTTCCTCAGGCCCACAAAAGTCTTAATGCTTTGGACTGGACCCCTTTGGGGAAGCTAGAAGCCCCTTCTCCAAATACCATTTGCAGATGCATTAAAAAAAAAAGTTTGTGGACACATCACATTATGCATTTGTCAAAACCCATAGGACTGTATGACACGAAGAGTGAACGCTAACGTGAACTACAGGCTTTAGTTAATAATAAGGTTCACCCAACCAAATGGTCAACAATTACCTTAAAACAAAGAGGAGAACGTAAGGGGGCGGGGAACCAAACCCACTGCTGTTGAGTTGATTCTGACTCATAGTGACCCTGTAAGACAGAGTAAAACTACCCTATAGGGTTTCCTAGGCTGTAATTTTTTTGTTTTGTTTTAGGTGAAAGTTTACAGCACAAATTAGTTTCTCAATCAAAAACTTACATACATATTGTTTTGTGACATTAGTTGCAATCCCAGAATGTGTCAGCACTCTCCTGATTTCCCTTTCCACGCTGGGTTCTCCGTGTCCATCTGTCCAGCTTTCCTGTTCCTTCTTGCCTTCTCATCTTTGCTTTCGGGCAGGTGTGGCCCATCTGGTCTCATATACTTGACTGAACTAAGAAGCATGTTCCCCATATGTGTCATTGTTTGTTTCATAGGCCTGTCTAATCTTTAGCTGAAAAGCAGACTTCGGGAGCGGCTTCAGTTCTGAGTTAACAGGGTATCCAGGGGTCATAGTCTCAGGGCTTCCTCTGGTCCCTGTCAGACGAGTAAGTCTGGTTCTGTTTTTGTGAATTTGAATTTTGTTCCACATTTTTCTCCCGCTCTGTCTGGGACCCTCTATTGTGATCCCTGTCAGAACGGTTGGTCGTGGTAGCTGGGCACCATCTAGTTCTTCTGGTCTCAGGCTGGTGGAGGCTGTAGTTCACGTGTACCCACATGTTCCTGCTTAAGTATTTACTGGTTGATTACATGGCCGCCAATCATTGTTTCTTGCAATACAAGTAACAAATGCATTAAATTATTACACCTTAAGAGCTGTAGTCTGGGATTAGTGTCCCTCTTGGCAAAGCCAGTGAGAATCAAACCTCTGCATTGTCTTTCTGGGCTCTTGGATTCATACATTCTATGCTTAGTTTAGAGCCCTGGTAACATAGTGGTTAAAGAGTCTGGCTGCTAACCAAAAGGTCGGCAGTTTGAATCCACCAGCTGCTCCTTGGAAACCCTCTGGGGCAATTCTACCCTGTCTTATAGGGTCACTGTGAGTCGGAATCGACTTGATGGCATGCTTAGCTTACACAGTAAAAGCTCCTGCAGACTAAAACCCCCAATTAGTGCCCCCAACATTTCCAAACTAGCTTGTCAGACTGAAGAAAATGTGACTTATGTTTTGGAGACAGCCACCTTAGTTCTCTCCAGACCCAAAGAAAGTAAGGGTCAAAGGCCAATGCTCTTAACAAGTAAGACATACAGCACTGTGTATTCTGGAGGTGGGAGAAACCCTCCCTGCCTATGTGAGACCCACACATCACTTTCACCAACACTTCACCCACTGGCCACCCAGGCTCACAACAGGACCCAAATGCTGAACCACAGTAAGAGAACCAGAACCTAATCAGCCTCCTTCTGCTGATTCCTTTTTTTTCTTTTGTTTTTAAATTGTGGTAAAAATACATATAGCAAAACATTTGCCATGTCAACAATCTGATGATTCCTTTTTATTTGCAGCCAACTACTGCTCTGCTCTCCCCTGCCCTTTAACCAGGTCACAAGCTACAGCAGACCAGTGTGCTGGTTATTACTGCGTCAGCCTAAGTTGTCAGAAGTTCTTGGTTATGGCTCCTGACTGGGCCTCTCAAAGGTTGACTGAGGATGTATTAACAGTTTCTGGAAACAGGGCAACGACTTTTGATATTTACAGTTGCAACCGTACGTCACACCCCTAAGCCTTTGCAAGATCAGACCAGAGACTGCAGTTTGGATACAAAGATGCAACTTGATCAACAGGTTCAGAAGAAAACAGCACCAAAACAGAGGAGTGACACCAGACAAGGACAAGGCTCACATCAGTCTCTCCAGTGCCTCTTACAAGGCCTGGCAACTGTCAGGCGTTTGTTTCTGAATTGAACAGCCAATGCAGATGACTCTGGAAATCTTCCATGTCGTATCAATCCCTGACAGTGGTTGCCAGAGGTTGCCAGAGGTTGGGGTGGGGGATGGGGATGGGGGTGGGGGTGGTTACAAAACAGCAACATGACGGATCCTGGTGGTGATGGGACATGTTCTATACCTTGACTGTGGTGGTGGACACACAAACTACACTTGTGATAACACTGCATAGAACAACACACACACACACACACACACACACACACACACACACACCTGGAGTACTAGTAAAACTGGGAACAACTGAATAAGACTGGTGGATTATATCAACGTCAATATCCTCGTTGTGACAGCATACTGTAGTTTTGCAAAATTTTATCCTTGGGGAAGGTAGGTAAAGGGTACACGGAATCTCTCTGTATTATTTCTTACATTTGCATGTGAATTTACAATTATCTCAAAATAAAAAGTTTAGTGGAAAAAAGGTAGATTTCAAAATGCAGCTCTTTATATTATGTAAAATATGAGAGGATATTAAGTCAGGACCATGATAGGTACAAATGAAAGACGTACAGCTAAAAAAAAAAAAAAATCTGAACCTGAACTTGAATCTGAACCCTGAATCAGAACTTCCTAAAAGGGCTGTCACCCAAGTCATTCCACCAATAGGTAAAACACCAGCTTCAACCAGCACACATGCAGCCTCATGCCCGCTCCTGCCCACCCCCAAAAGGACTTCAGACTTGTTTACCCAGAGAGGCTTTAGCCCCTTCCATTTAGCATATGGGATGACTTGACCTTGGCAACATGCACTCATTTTCTGAATGAAATGGCAATTACCACCCCAAAGCTTTGTTTTAAACTCAAATTCAAAACACTTCGCGCTCTATTTACAATGAACTCTGCCATTCTGCATTTTGATCCATTCCACCTTTTAGATTAAATACAGAAATCACTGGAAAACGTAAGTGTCAATACCCACTTTTACAAAAAGGGTTACTCATCATTTGTTTTCATTTAGGCTTTGCAAGGAACTTCTCCTAAGGCCAGGGAGAATAAAAATTCCAGGCATTTTGTTTTAATGTGGACACCACCTTCACCTGCCTTCTTTACAAAGCTGCAGTGCATAAAACCAACCGAAGGCTGGTAACCCTGCATTTGAATGGTTGTGTCATTTTCATCACACTGCTGAAGGGGTAAGCCAGGGCTCTGCAGTTCTTTTGTAACTTTGCAAAAGAGAAGCAATAACGCTCTCCTTTACTCACCAATGTCATTGCTGCGGTCCGAGAGATCCTTGTCCAGGATGCTGGAAATCGCACTGCCCACCAAGTCAATCTTTGGACCGTCACCCCTATGTTAAAAGAACAAGTCCAGGCATTTAATCATTGGAGTGTGTCCTGGTCATTTTGTGGCACACACATTAAGGAGTGTGCTATGCGTGGGGCAAGTGGCACTGTTGCCTGCAAAGGAGCCAGTGGGAGCCAACAAGCTGTCTGACCACATGGGCCCTGGTGCAACCCGGCCAACAGATTGGAGGCCCTCTCTCCAGCATACATATTCAAAGGCAGCTATTTTAGTAATGGCTGTTCTCCAATGCACCTTCAGCCACAAAACCTGCTGGGTACACACGGTGCGACATCAGGCCTGCTCCTGCCCCATTACCAAATAAGAACTGGCAAATGACAACTGGGAGCTTCCCTTTTAAGGAACGAGGAATTTAGCCAATGCTGCTTGTCAAAGGCCAGCCACTTTTAACCTTGAGAAAAAGCTTTTCTGGCCTGAGGCTGAGGCATGGGCCAGGCTGTTGACAGGCACAAGGTGTCGAGTTGAGATCTGGCGGCCCAAAAGCTGGCACAGGGGTGGAGGCCTATAAAATTAGCCGGCTCCTGGGTGGGTGCCCATGGGCACGTCAGGACACGAGTGACTTCCCTCCGTATCTGGGCTAGAAGCAGCCCTTCAGGACAGGGACAGGTCTCCAAAATGATGAGAGAAGGCCAGCCCACGCATGCGTGAGCAGAAGGTTCTTTTAAATTGCTTTTAGGCAGCTCTTGTGACTCTTCAGGGGAAGATGAGGCCTGAACGAGATTATCAAGGGCTGCGATAGCAGTGAAACAGGAAAGATCCTTGCCCATACAATAAGAGGGTGAAGCCCGGCAGTTGTTCCCCGCAAAACAACAGAAATAGTCCCCCTCACAGCTCCTGGCAGTCACCAGGCCTGAAGCTGAACAACGGATAACTTATCTTTACTCAACAAGCATTTGTCCAATATCTATTATGCTGGGGGTCTTGAGAGGGCCAGGCTAGATGGCAACTACTCTGGAGGGGCTCACAGTCTAAATGGGAGAGACAGACAGACAGGCAGGCAGCTGTAAGTTCACCCAGTGCAGGCTGCATGTGATCAAGGCGCGTCAAAGCACTCTGGGAGGAAAGGACTGGGTTAGTGCAGGGGTGAGCTGCATGCGAGGGGTGGGGGACATGCAGAGGAGGTGGCATTAAAGTTGGGCATTGGAAGAAAAGGACATGCCACTGAGAGGCATGATGGTGCGAAGACCCAAAAGTGGGTGAGAGCACCCGGTGTGACCAGGGGCCCCAGGGCTAAACCCTGAGGTACCTGGAGGGTAGTCAGAGGAGAAGGCTGGCAAGGCTGGTGAATGTCAGGCTGTGCAGTGCCAAGTACACCAGGCTACAGGGCCTGTGTCCTGAGGGTAACGGAGGCAGAGGGAAAGTTGAAGCCGGGCAGCGTTCTGTTCCATTGTGCAAGGGATCACCATGAGTCGGGGCCAACTCGACAGCCGCTGACAACAACTGTACTTGGAAAGGAGAAGCAGGAGCTCGAGCTCCGCAGCACAGCCTTTATTTCCTGCCTCCTCCTAGGCTCCTAAGGCCGGAGGGCCTGGCGCACCCCAGGCCGGATGTCCCCAGCAGATTCCCTCCACAGCCCCTGGCTCCAAGAGCTCGTGCCCTACAGGGCACTCTTCCTCAGACGGATTCCAAGCCAACAGGAGAGGCAGAATTTAGGACATGTATTTCAAAACATTTTCTTGTCAGGGCCCACTATCCACTAATTTGAATAGAATCTTCTGAATGAAACTTTTGAGAAATGCAGTATTATTAGTAGGAAAGCAGTTTAATTTTTAGAAGTATTCCTTTCCCTGGATGTAAAGAATACATTCTCAAGGGCCCTTAATATTATGACTGGATAGCCATGGAGCCTGACTGATTTGGTGGTGCTGTCCTGCAAACTAACAGATGGGACTCGGGTTACACTCACAGCCAGATAGTCCTGTCCTTTGTGGAACATGCTAAGGACCCAAACTTACGAGAACACGTGTTCTGCTTGGGGAGAGAGGCCACTAAGGCAGAGACATTCCACATTATTCCAATGGGTGTGTTTTTTTTGCCAAGTGGTCGGGGGTGGTTAAAAGTGACATCCTTGTGGGCAGCTGGGGAAGAGAAGCTTTGCTCACGCTCAGCTGCTAACCAAAAGGTTGGAGGTCGGAGTCCACCCAGAGGCACCTAGGAAGAAAGGCCTGGTGATCTACTTTCAAAAACTCAGCCACTGAAAACCCTATGGAGCACAGTTTTACTCTGACACATATGGGGTTGCCATGAGTTGGAATCAACTCAACAGCAACTGGCTGGCTTTCTACCTCAGAACTTGACTGCTTCTGAACATCTGGTTTATTCGTGTATTTTGGTCACTCTGAATCTTGGAGCTGAGGTTTCCCTCTTTGACAGCTGGACGCTTCCAATCAAACGTGAGGCCTATCTCAAGGAAGCATAGAGGACTTCGAAAGAGTGCATGACTGTGTTACTTCCTTTTCTACCCTCTATTACTTTTCTACCCTTATTTTCTCTTTATTGTCACTCTAAACTATTTTATTCTTTCGTATGCATTTTTGAAAGTTACCTCACAGCCTTCGTGGAAATTAGAAATTACTTATTTCTACCCTGCACCATTCATTCCACACATGCGTTGAACCAGTTCTGAGAGTCTATGCATCAATATGTTTATCACAGTGTTATCTATAGTAAAGAAAAATGGAACAGAAATGGAATCTTTTATACACAGGGGAACAGTTGAATAGATGGTGGTATTTGACAGACTTTTTACACAGTCATTAAAATTATATTCATAAATGGTTTATAACAAGGATGAATGCTTGTGTTACAATGTTAAAGGACAGTACCAGGTTAAAAATAACATGCACGGTGATGTGGATACACCCACACAGCGTCCTGACATACTAGGAAGAAGGTTTGTTTTTTGAGACTAGAAGAATATTTGCAGTGGTTCCTCCTGGGCAGTGGGGTGGGTGACGTCCAGCACCCAGCTCAATGCCTGGTACCTGGCAGGGGCTCAGAACACACCCGTGGCATTAATGAGCATTTGCCCCATCTTCTGAAATGGAAATGCATTATGTATTTGTACAATAAACGCAACTTTCTCCCAAAAGACAAAGTTGTATGGTATACAATATGACCATACCTATGTAAAACCTACGAAAAACAAGCAAAATACTACACAGGAAAAAGACAGGAAAGAAACAGTCCAGGTGTTACAGTAGTTGAGGCTATAGTGAATGTTTTCTTCCTTGTAAAATTTACTTTGAATAATAAAGACCAGAGACTCATGCAATTCAGTCGGCTCATATTCCCTCTCCTTTCAGCTCCAACAGCATTCCCAAAGCAAAAGGTTAGGCTGTCTACCTCCCAAACTCGCCTTGAATCAGGGGCCTGTGTAGTCACCTCCCCTGAGAACCAGGAAGGTGTGTGTGGAGTTCAGAATTCTAGACTTTGAAGTCCAGGCCATGGGTGCTACACCTAAACCTATTGTCCACTACCTGTGTGACCTTCACCAGGTCACTTAACCTCTCTGTACCTTGGGTGCTTCACCAGTGAAATGATGGGCGGGCCAGCTTGGACAGGATCATCTCCGAGGGGCCTTCTGGATCTTGCATCCCATAAGTTCAACATTAGAGAGATGTTGGAGACTGGGGTGGGGGTTGGAGGTGGTAGCCCTGTGTGTGTGGGCAAAGTCCAGGACAGGGTGCACATCATCTCTCTTGCCTCTGTAAAGGTCTGGAATGCCCTCTGTTCCCTCTCTGCTGGACAAATGTGACCTACACTTTAGCATTATGGAACACACCTCTCTTCCTCCTTTTAACTAAATGAGTGAGCCAACAGTGTGAACTGTCTGGGCCTTGTATGCCTTAGCTACATTCTTGGTCCTATTTCTAACCTTCATTCTCTAATAAAGTATTTCTCGAACTCTGAGTAATGTGTGAACAAAAAGCAACTGAAATGAAATATTTCAAACAAAAAGCAATTCTCGCAGATCCTCAAGTGTCATCCCTGGTTGAGAAATACTAAGAAACTAAAGACACTGATGACATCTATCAATGGAAAACTGTTGCTATGAGAGAATTTCATCTTTTTAACAGTTAAAAGAAAATTACAAAGAATAGCATGCAATGAGACACTACCCATACATTTCTTGTAGATATTGGAGGCTCTATTCACAATTAGGGGAACACTGCTCTAGTGGGAATAGATCAAAGAAAAAATGAGTATGTACCAAGTTGGCTAGGGTGGCTGCCCCTCATGTGGCATTTGCAGTGACCGGGGTGAACCCTTGCTGGGGAAGGGCTTCTGCCTCTGGGACTGGCCAGCGGGCTCTGTGTAGATGGCCTGATACCCGGAACCATGAGGGACCACCCTGGAGAAAGAGGAACTAATGATCCCTGAGCAATTCCTCCCAGATTCTAAAGCAGGAAGGACACTGGGATCCCCCCATCTTCCTAACTTAGCCCTGAGGCCTTGTGCCAATAGCCAGACACCAGCTTTAGGCTGAAATGATCTTCTATAGAGGGCCAGAGCAAGCCTATTTTGAAAACACAGTAGGTGTAGTTTTAAAAGGTTCTGATCTTTCCAAGTAGGGAATCTGCAGCTGGTGTTTTGACAGTGTTCAGACCGTGGGTGTGTAAGAGTTTTACAATGTCTATTTGTAAATGCCTTTCACTGTATTTATAGCCTTGTACAATAATGCTAATGAATTTCAGTTTTGAAAAGGACCAAAATTTCTGAAATTCACCAAAGCACATGTTTAGAGCGACTGCCACTCAATGAAGACCAGGTCCTTGGGGGCCCCACCTCTCCCACAGTCTGCCCAGTGCCAAGGCACCATTTTGGCAAAAGGGATGTTACTGGATTCAAAGGAAGAGGAAAAAAAGGCCACTCTTTTGTAAATTACTAGCTCCTGCAAGTGTTTTTGTCTGGTGAGTGCATATGCCCATAGCTGTTAATCAAAGGAGAAAATCGAAGGCGGCAGGCATATCACCATCTATCCAA